TCTTAGTGACCGGATAAGTGTTAGTGTCCAGAGGGAAGATGTCGTCGTTCAAGTCTGTGGATGTCAGCAATAGTCTGCAGGGACCGCATAAGTACACACTCCAGAGGTAAAGCCAGAACTCCTTCCACCCAGAGCCAGCCAGACAGTCGATACCAAGAATGGTAGCAGTGGCACCCGAGAAGGCAATTGATGCGATCAGACCGTAAGTGCGCGTGTAGTGGCTGAAAGCCAACGAGTAACCTCCAGCTGACATGCAACCAATGAAGATTGCCCGACCAGTTCCCGAAGTAATTAGGCCGCCGTCTTTGACGCTGAGGAACCACATGCTTAGGCAGAAGCCACCGAGCAAGCAACCAAAGCCTTCGGTGATGTCTGAGAAGACCAGTGATAGTATACCGAAGATCACTCCGGTAAAGAAGGCAGCCACGAAGAAGGCTCCCTGGATGGCGTCGGAAACAGGTGGGTTCATAAGATACACAATCAACACAGTGACTGCGAGGGCGGTCAGGTAGGCCGCAGACCCGAACACGTACACCCTTGAACTGGTCAGCCTATATTGGAACATGAGTATCAATGTACATACCATTTATTTTTGATACCAACAATGGCATACCCTAGCCCAGAGAGTAGCAATAGCACTCCAGTGATACCCATAGCAGGTGTGAGCTTTGGGTGAATAGGCAGTGGGTCTTTTGAGTTTGCAGGCTCGCTTTCTGAATCCAGGGTCAGTTTGAGGTTGGCATAATTGACCCGATTAATTTAACTTGCCCTCAGAGCTCACTGGCGAGGATCCATCAGTTGGAATCGAGGTGGGAACATCGTTGGCGGTGCTTGATACTGACGTCTCTGATGGTTTGACCGAAGATACTGCTGTTGATGAAGGACGTTCTGACTCAACCCGTGATGAGATTACTTCCGATGGTCTGGGTGTGGCCGAGAGATTTCGCGAAGCACTGTCCTGGCCTTGTGTCGACTCCGCGGCAGGGCTGTCATCCTGTCTACGGACTGCAGCATGGGGAGCTGCTCCTGCTAATTGCAGACATAGAATAAAGGCCAGACTGAGAACAAGATAGTAACATGAGAAGCGCATGGCGACCGTGTAGAGAGCGCGTGTCTAGCACAGTGAGTCCGATGCCATAGAGGAATTACGATTACAGAGGGAGGTCGCGACGAACAGTCCCTGCGAAGATACTCGAAGAGGAAAGCGCGGCTCCTGATATGGTCTGAAGGGTGGGCGCAGAGATGACGCACGAACAAAGATTGAAGAAATAGCAAGTTGACTCGTGGTAAGGACTGTTTCAAAGAGCGAGCGTCGATAGCGAGAGCCGATTACTAAGAGTGATAAAGAGCGAATAGAAAGGAGTGTGGTAGGCACGAACGGCCAATACGCGAAGCTGATAATGCAAAAGAATGCAGGAAACAGGTAATGAACGGTGCAGGCGCACCTGGGCATATATCGGACGACAGAAACCGTAGGTCAGCGGCAGCCCGCCTGGTTAGGAGATCTACGACTCCTCCCGCGGGTCGCAAAAAGCGAGAGGCTTAGCGAGCAGGGGTCTGTTCCTGCAATGAGAAAAAAGCATTGCCATAGAGCTCGGCGGCGTCAGAAACGGCGGGCTTTTTTGGGATGACCCATACTGCAACAGGTGTGGTGTGGTCCTTTGCAAAGTTGAAATTAAGATTGCGACGTTAGCCATAGCCATTCTAACGTTTTCCGAGCAACGCCTTCCAGCCACCTAGAGTAAAACAAGTCTAGTTTTTTATCTAATCGTCCTGATCCAGCGATGACAACTGAGGGCGTTCGGACGGTACCCGATGCCATGCAAAAGACACAACGATGAGGCGTTCAACGTTGCCGAATGCCGTCAATAATTCGATCGGGAGGCTTGCGCTGAAGGTTTCCAACAAGCGAACGCGTACGTATGCGAGATGAGCCGTGATTACTCGAGCCAAGCAGGCATTTGGCGCTGACGTCCAGTGAGAGGTTGATGAAGGAGAACGTATCATGAGCTGAGGTGCTGCCATTCGTAGGGCTGCCATCTCTGTAGACAGGGATCGTGCTACGCATCCATGCATAAGCTGCCGCAGTATGCATAAAAACCCTCCACAAAGGAGCTCCTCACATAACCAACGTGGAGACTCAGCCGTAGTACGGCCGCAAGGTTCAAGCCTCAAAGTCTCGATAAATGTAGGATCTTTCATTTTTCTTCAGCTGCGGAGATCTTGATTCTAGATGGAATCAAAGATACAACATCGCGTTGTCCGAAGAGGGGGTATGATGGCCTCGGGAATCAACCAATACGGCAACTCCTGCAACCGACAATGCAGCTCCTGTAACCGAAGATGTCCGCAGCACTAGATCTGCAGGCAGCCGTGCGCAGTGCCGACGATCCAGTTCTGACGAACATCAGCGTGGGAATCGTCTCCGTGCTCCCTCCCTGACGTTAGCACTAGCGATTCGATCGACCTGCCAACCTCCTTGTCACTAGCTTCGCCAGGTCCACAGACAGTTCTCACAGCTGTAATGCGAGTCCAACAGATCTGATATCTGCTCGCACCTTGCACTCCGAAGTATTCCGCAGCATCGCACTGCCATCTCTGTTTCATATATGTCGTCGCACAGATTCAACTTGAATCTTCAACATGGAAGGCTGGGCTCTGCACGTTCTCCCAAGATCATAGTGGGTCCGTTAAGATTGCCAATACAGGCAAAAAGCTTCCGAATTTGAGGCGCAAGCATTTCCGCAAGTTACACGATTGAGGCTCGATTGCCATCCTAGATTACGCACGATATTAATTTGTTGAAAGAATTCAGTGATGGACGCAGTGGACATGCAGTCTGTGGCACATTGAACGTGGGTATGTATTGATGTTGCGAGAGCACGGCGCTAACAGTGTACAGCACATCGCGTCGCTTACCCTTGGTTTGAGCACGATCGAAGATACGTGCGAACGACTTCAGAATACCGTTTTAACCGAATGCTCCTACCAGTTTGGCAGCGAGCTGCGCATACGTGCTCAACGGCGTATTCATTAGTCCACCAGACATAAGCTGTCCACCGCTCCGAACCCCGCGGCCACACCACCCTCCTCGCTTTGGTCGCCCTTGGTGCGGAGAAGATATCCGGCTTCCCAGTTCTCCAGGATTTTGCCCTTTTGATCGTCTCCATTGCCATTTCTCCAGAGACACACACCGTATACGCCAAGCTCGCAAATGACGCCACCCCTTTGTAACTCACCGTTCCGAAGAATGGCGTTTGTCAGTGGAGGCGGCTCGATCATCTCCATAAGGATGTACGCCGGCCAATGAGTCTCGGGCAACTTCTGCAAGAATGGTGGGATGGCTTTCCGATAGATGTTGTTTCCGCCTCCCTCTCGCTGAGGTTTCAGCACATACTTGGTAGCTGACGAAGCGTCTGTCGCAAGTTTCTTCGCTTCCTCGCCAGCCTCGCTGTTATCTAGTGGATAGATGGGGGCGAAGGTTCTGAGCACACGCGAAGCGACCTTCTCGTCAGGGAGGAATCGCTTAAGATGCGGAGAATGTGGCGTAGCAAGCACTTGCTGAACCTTTTTACAGCCAGCGAGCTGAGTCAAAACGCTCGGACACTTGATGGCATGGCTTTTTTCAAGCTGGACACGGGCATGCCAATCTTCGTCTTTTGAGTAATCGTCCGGTGAATACCCCGCTCGGAAGTAGATTGTCGTCACTTCATATGATTTTGATGGCGAATTTGGTGGCGTGTAGACCAAGGTACGGTCTGTGTCGAGTTGTGTGTGAGACAGCGTCTCGCCGAAAGGTAATCGGAAGGCGCGGACGCCATTTTCTTCAAGTAAGGCGTATTCGAGATGTCTCTGGTCGAACACGTTTCTCTCCGGGTCCTGTACAACGAACAGGACACACAATGGACGTTTGGTGCGCGAAGCTCCGTACGCCTTGTGTGCTGCAGCAAGACCCTTGGCCAAGGAAGAAGCAGATTGGCTCTGTCGCAAAGCCTCGTGCTTGATAATGGATGACGTTGAATTAGGATAAGCGTCGATGGTAAGAAGGTATTTGTGTAATGCGGAAACTTGGGAGGATAGTCCACCAAATGAGGATGCAATAGTATTGAACTCGACCTGTTTCAAGCCAGGGGATGAATTGGACTGTGAAGGGTCTTGATGTACCATGTAGTCTGAGCGAAAAAGACCCAACGAGAGGTCTTGCACATAGCCTTCCTTCTTGACTTCAAGATGGGTCTGCCATAGCTTTGCAACGAAGTCGTCAACATGTACAAGCTCCTCTACGATGCTCTTTAACCACGACTCGTCTCTAGCAATAGCTGAGTACAACTCGTTGTAAGCGTTTTGTATGGAGAGTCCTTCGTCGAAACAGGAGCGAGGGAACAAGCTTGGAAACAACGTGACTGGTGCTGTGCTTGCGAGAACCCCAGATGGATCCTGTGATGGCTGGACGAATGACGGAGCCGGGCGAACTGCCAAACCATGCGCTATCGACCAATCCTTGAGATTGGATAGTAGAAACTCCTCCTCCTGTTTCGAAAGCTCCGGCGGGTAGTCGGTAGGCGACATAATTCTTTCGATTGCTGAGCTGGTTTGGTTGTTGTCGAGAGGGCAAACGGATTAGGTACGAAAGACTTACAAATGCTATCCGCGCTAGAGCAATTGCCTCATCTTGCCCCGCCAAAGCCCGAGACACACCGATTAGCCTTAGTCATCTGCTGTAATAAGTCACCAGCAATTATTCGATAAGACGATGCTCGTTGCTCTCTGTCTTCACTTTGAATTGTGAGCTTTGGTGCTGTTTGCCCCTCCTCGCGTGGTCAAGTGATGGCGCGCACTTGCCTTATTGGCTGTCCTGCCTCCACCACGCGTTGTCCAATCCGCTCCACTTCAGAGCTGGTTCAAACAAGGTCGCATTTTTCACCACCATAGCCTTCCTACACTGTTAGGTGTCGCGAAACATCAACAAGTTATAGCAGTCCTGCTCGAGGACTAGCGAAATGCCCGCGAGCGATCCCCGGTTGTGGACAGTGGATGACCTTCACACAAACGCACTATACAGAGATGCAGGCTACTCTGATGCACAAATTCCTGATGCTATGATGCTTCATACCAATAGCGCAGATAACTCGCCCTCTGTACGGCGAACCGGAATCTCCGAAGGTGTTATCATTACGGACGAAGCAGGTAACAAGCGGAGGAAAATCACTAACCTCTCAACAACGCCGCTCAGTGTACTATCTGGTTCTCAAGTGAGTTTGAATGCGGCAACCAGCGGGCTATTGCGGCAAGTAGAGTCAAACGTAAACGACTACAGTTATCTGCTGAAATGGCAGAACATAGCTGGGGGCGACCAGATCGTAGATCTACCTGACGAGGACGAGCTGGAAGATGAGGACGACTTTGGGTCGATGGATGCTGGCGAGGAAGATGCAAAAATACATGAGGATCAGCATGATGATGCAGTCGAAGAGACGAATAAACGGACCAATCTGAGCCAGGACGAGATCGTCCGGATTATTAACGAGCGAATCGAGTTTTATACAAATGCTTGGGTACCGAACAAAGGCGTTCCCAGTAAAGAGAGGGTAGATCCAAAAACTGTGTGGAACGAGGCTGAAGCAAAAGGCGAACGAGAAAGGCTTGCACAGCACTATGAAACAGAGTACGATTATTTCAGTCAAAGATTGAACAAATTGTGTGACGAGATCATAAAGGATCCAGGAAGCAATGCGGTAAGCTATCATACTTTCTCGATCACTCCAGTAGTATAAACTAACAATGATCCTTGCAGAAACAAGTACGGCAACAATGTAGCAACCTCGAGGGCACTGTGGATTGCATGGAGCTTGCGGCTTGGTTGCGCGATATTTACAAACTGGAACCTGTCCACGACGGCGAAGAAGAACACGTACTGGACAGCCAACCAAAACTACGACAAGACACGTCAACTCATCGAGGCGAACCAACAAGTGAGGTTATCGATCTAGGCTCACCCTCGTGCTCATCTGACATTGAGAACGGGAACATATTGCCCTTTGACAACGATACTGGGACTGTAGCCAATACAACTGAAGACCAGTTTGATAATCGTGTCCGTTCATCTACGCCAGACTCAGTCATCGCTGACAGCGTGGAGCTAACTGAATATGCACAACTAGGGCCTTTTGAACCAGACGGCGCCTTTCCCACACGTACACCTGTTAATCACGGTGATGAACCTGAGAGCGCCTCCATTACTACAGTTCGCCGCTGGAGATGGGAAGACTTAGTCGAGCACCTTGACCGGAAGCGCATTGTATCCAAAGTCATCCAGGAATTGAAGTCCAACGACCGCGAAATGATTCGTGGTCGGGTTCAGAACATAGGAAAGACCAGCCTCATCAGAGAAATGAGAGCATGTGTTCACATGTTATGCAAAGGAGAGACAAAGCTGCAGGGCGTCCTTCCTCGGGATATGCCCAAGATTCTTACATTTACCACCCTGTTCCTTTCATGGTGGTTTTGCTGCAATTATTCAAAGGGACCTGAAGCATCTAGCAGAGATCTTGGGGAGCTCCGGAACTGCATGGATGACGGGACTGCCGAAACAAGCAGCTTCTATTACTATGTGTATACGATTATGGCAACGACTTTCGGCGAGCAAGCTTTGCGATATCCCGATCAGCCATCCCAGGCCGAGATCATCGAAATTTCAGACGATGACTGAGTCGGCGGCCGTTGGAAAATGCGGCATGTTGTGTTCAACTACGTGTTCTCTGGGAAGGGCCGTTTGGCTGTGAGGTCTAGGCCTTAGGCCTGACAAGCTGCTTATGGAATGTTCAAAGATGCCGAACTGTGAAAATATCGAACCACGTGCGGCGTATTTCGGCAAGGTTCTCTAGTCGTGTGCACTGTACGCTAGCGAAGAAGCGCAATTGGGGGCAAGCCGAGGTATCCAGACCAAGGTTTTGGAGAGATGTACTATTCAACCTGATAGACTGCAGATCCTCATGAGCTTGTCAAGATCAACCTCACAAAAGGGAACGGTGGCGGCTCCGGAATAGAGCTTTGAGGCCAGGTCGCCGGGCAAAAGGCGGGGTACGCTAAAGCCACAATGATGACTACTGAGCAGTACAGGGAGTTGCAGTTCAGGTTTTGAATGATGGAATCGGAGCCCCAGCAAATCTATCTCTATGATATATGACATGTACAGAGATTGCGGTTCAGTGCAAAGAACATAGCGTGAAGCTGTATCGAGTTGATGGCAAAGGGTCTCACGGAGCCGTCCCTGGACCCTTTGTACGCGTATAAGCAAGCCATGGAACTATCCGAGTATTTACTCTCCGGAGTACCGTACCGCTGATTGAAAAGGCATAAGCAGCGTTGGAGGCTAATATAGATGAACCAATCATGACGAGTGCATTTGATGCCGAAGCCCGGCATACTAGAATCCGCGCTATTACCGCATGTAAATCATGTAGTACATCTTTGACACATTTTCGAACCGACTTTCCCTCTCTCACGCCCGTCCTCACCCTCAACCACACTCGATCTGCTTGCACTCCTACCACGCACACCGAATCCCATACACGCCGCGCATTTGACCAACATGGAGGCTCTTTTGCGCCAGTCGAAGTCCATGTGCCCGTTCCTTCACAAGACGTCACCCGCCACTCTGCGCTCCCTCTCCACCACGACGGCCGCTGCCCGCCAGGAAGTCTCTCCAGGCGCCGGAAGCATGTCGAACCTCCAGGTTCTCGCCCGTCGCTGCCCGATCATGGGCAAGGCGCTTGCTGTGCAGAGCTCCCGCAATGGCAACAACGCTCTTGCTGGTGCTTTCGGTGGTGTGCGTGCTTACCACACGCGCGTGAACCGAGCCAGGCTACACACGACAGCGTCCAAGGAAGCCCAGGCTGTCGATATTGAGAGCCTCAGAGGCAAGCAGGGTACGCCAATTCCTATGAAGCCGAGACAGCCGCATCTCTGGCACCGAGTGAAAAGCAGAGCATAAGCTGACATGGCGCAGGTCCACCATTTCCCCACGCTGCTTTGAAGCCGGCCAATGTTAAGCCCTCCAACGTCGCATCTCCGTCTGCCCCGCGAGCCGCGACGTTCGACTACGAAGGCTTTTACCACAATGAGCTGGACAAGAAGCACAAGGACAAGTCGTATCGCTACTTCAACAACATCAACCGATTGGCCAAGGAATTCCCGCGTGCCCACAAGGAATCCCCGGAGGACAAGGTGACTGTCTGGTGCTCTAACGACTACCTCGGCATGGGACGCAACCCCCACGTACTCAAGTCGATGCACGAGACCCTGGACAACTACGGAGCTGGTGCCGGAGGTACCAGAAACATCTCCGGACACAACCAACACGCTGTAGCACTGGAGGACACAGTTGCAAAGCTCCACTCCAAGGAGGCTGCGCTCGTCTTTTCGTCGTGCTATGTAGCAAACGATGCGACTCTTGCGACCCTCGGCAGCAAACTGCCCAACTGCGTCATTCTGTCGGACAGCTTGAACCACGCCTCCATGATCCAGGGCATCCGTCATTCAGGCGCGAAAAAGATGGTATTCAAGCACAACGATGTCGCAGACCTTGAGGCGAAGCTGCAGTCAATTCCTGCCGAATACCCCAAGATCATTGCCTTTGAGAGTGTGTACAGCATGTGCGGTTCCATTGGACCTATCGAAGAAATCTGTGACCTCGCTGAGAAGTACGGTGCCATTACCTTTTTGGACGAAGTCCATGCTGTAGGCATGTACGGACCACACGGTGCCGGTGTCGCTGAACATCTCGACTACGAAGCACACAAGGCAGGGCGGCCCCAGGGCACTATTCAGGACCGCGTAGACATCATCACTGGTACACTCGGAAAAGCTTACGGCTGCGTTGGCGGCTACATTGCCGGCTCTGCCAAGCTTGTCGACACTATCCGATCACTTGCTCCTGGCTTCATTTTCACTACTTCCCTTCCACCGGCGACCATGGCAGGTGCCAAGACGGCCATCGAGTACCAGGCCAACTACCAGGGTGACCGACGCCTGCAGCAACTCCACACCCGCGCTGTCAAGGATGCTTTGAGCGAGAAGAACATCCCCGTTATTCCGAACCCTAGCCACATCATTCCCGTTCTCGTTGGAAACGCCGAGGTGGCCAGGAAGGCGTCTGACCTTCTCCTTGAGGACTGGGGCATCTACGTCCAGGCCATCAACTACCCCACTGTTCCTGTAGGCCAGGAACGACTACGCATCACGCCAACCCCAGGCCACATCCGGGAGTACCGCGACCACCTGGTCGAGGCGGTCGATGCTGTGTGGAAGCAGTTGGGCATCAAGCGCACAAGCGAATGGGCTGCTGAAGGCGGCTTCATCGGCGTTGGCGAGGCTGGCAAGGAGGAGGTCGCTCCCCTCTGGACTGACGAGCAACTTGGTCTGACTGATGTCATGAATGAGATGAAGGCAGGCCAGGGTGCGACCGGCGTGCTCGAGGCTGTGCTCGAGAACGAGCGCAAGGCTACAGCACAGGCTGTTGCTGCTGCTGCTTAGACGTGTAGTCAGGCGGTTAGTGATGAGGTCTGGTCGCTCGTTTAATTATTTGAGGCCTATGTAGTTGGATGAAGCGTTGATAGCGCGGAGAAATTTACTTGTGATTCGTCCGCGCAAAAACATGTCCATGCTAATGCGTGACTATGTTGATACAGTAGTAGTGTTGTGAGGCTCAAGTGAAAGTGAAATGGTGCCTTTGTATTGTCGTGTGTTGGTGGATGTGGAGTGCACGGCCCCGGCGTTAGGTTCACGTCAGCCATTGCGCTAGCGGACAGCTCCCAGGGTTTGAGCCTCACGAAATCGAGACACGCTCCATCATCAACCGCGCTCGCCGCAACGCGACTCTACCATCCGGCGCTGCCCGCCCCCATCTAATCGCCGCCTAATCCAGCATTCACTGTAATTGCTGGCTGCAGGGCGCGCACATATCACGAGACGGCTACCCATCACCCTCACGAGCAACCACCGCATGCTCCCCACACATTTCATCAACTCTTTGCTCGCGCCGGTCTCTCGATCGTAAGAGGGTACCATTATGCCTCCTCCACCCAAGCGCAAGCGACCCGAGCGCACTTACTCACAGGACGACGACCGCAGTGGACGCCCGTCGCCGCACCGCCCCCAGAACCTCGGATTCGCGCATCACCAGCAGCAGCAGCAGCAGCAGGCCAACAGCCCGCGCGGAGGCGGCGGCGGCGGCGGAGGTGGCAGGCGGCAGAGCAGAAACAACGGACGCGGTGGCTCCAGCGTTCCCCAGAGCCCTAACAACGCCTCATCACACGCATCGCCGACCGCCATGTCTCCGCCTGCGAACACCTTCCCGTTGACTCGGCCGTCTCAAGCCACACCCACCACCCCGGCCCCAGCGCCGGCTCCCTCACAACCTTCGACGCCTTCCACACCGCGCGAGGTCCCCGAGAGCAATGACTATCTGACGCCAGACCGCGTCGCTCGCTGGAATGGCGAAGCACGCGACGCTGTGGTCAAGGCCGCCATGGCTGCTCAAGGCACAGGCGACGTCCTCACCCTCTCGGTCATATTTCACGAGATCATCGAGGCGTCCATGGACCAGCTGCTAGATGCCGGCGAGCTGGGCTCCATAGTACGCGACATCACATCTGCCCCGGCCGACGAGCACGTCGACTCAGTATCGACGTTCCTCGACACGCTGAGTTCGCTCACACAAGATGAAGGCAAACAGGCGCTCGTGCGACAAATGCTTGTCGCGACAGACATCGACGTGTCGCGCATGCGAGCCGAACTAGAAAATGACCTCTTGAAGTCCTTGGGCCTTGTTCGCGATAGCTTCTCCAAAATGGCCGTTCGCAAAGCAACTCACGCCCTGTACCGACAGTCCAACTACAACCTGCTGCGCGAAGAGACCGAGGGCTACTCCAAGCTTATGACCGAGTACTTCACCACCGTAAACAGCGAACCGCCCTCACAGGAAGTCGTCGGCGAGACCTGGCAACGAGTAAACGCTCTCATTGGCGCATTCGACCTGGACATTGGCAGAGTTCTCGATGTGACGCTGGATGTGTTTGCCAACCTCCTAGTCAAGCACGGAAGGTTCTTTGTCAAGATGCTAAGGTCGAGCGCATGGTGGCCCGAGCTACGTGGTTTCGATAACATCAAGTGGGAAGAGCCCGAAGTACCGACATTGCCCTTATGGGCGCGACCTGATGCGAAGCAGTGGTATTACACCGATGAAGAGAAGGACGAACAGCTGCGCCTGCGAGAGTCGCGCGACTGCAAATTCTGGCAGCGAGTTGGTGAGTTGGGCGACCGGGCAGGCATTCAGGCCTTCTTTGAACTTGGAGGCCGTCGCATCACTGCGAACAACCGACAACCCGACCAGACCTTACCTGCTGAAGGCGCGCCATTATCGAAGCAACAGGCCGCTCGGAAATGGGCCGACGAGTGGATGGAGCAGACCAAGACACTCCCTCCGTCAGGAAACGACATCGCCGCCCAACTGCTTGGCTTCAAGCTCCAATTCTACGCGTCAGACGTCCGCGATGCCACCGACGAACTTCCTGACAATCTCATGTACCTGATTGCGCTCCTGATCAAGATTGGCTTCATCTCTATTCTGGATCTTTATCCTCATCTATATCCACTAGAGCCAGATATGGGTGCACACAAAGAAAAGCTCCTCAAGGCCAAGAAAGAGAAGGAGGATAGCGAACGAGGCGCAGTTGTCAACGCTCTGACTATGGCCGGTGCGCTGCCTGACGAGACTCCTGGCCCGCCAGCTGTTTCTCGCCTCCGAGACGCCGACTCCAGATCCAAATCCGACACTGGACGGAGCACGCCCGCCAAGTCTGATGAGCCCGTGGACAAGAAGAAAGCTTTACCCGAGCCCAAGGACCAGAAGTTCACGCTTTTGAAGAGTCTGTTGTGCATCGGCGCGCTTCCGGAAGCTTTATTCATTCTCGGGCGACATCCTTGGTTTCTGGACGTTTACCCCGAGCTGTTGGACCTCATCTTCCGCCTGGCACATCACTCTCTGAGCAAGGTTTACGAGGAATCCAAACCGACCTCGGTTGAAAAGTCCGTCATTGCCACCAAGGGTAGTAATAATAAGGGTATCATGCGGCCGAGTGATTACGTCCCTCGACGGACTCTCCGATGGGCCAAACCGGACCGGAAAGACCAAGATGGAGGAACCGACTACAAGTTCTATTGGGAAGACTGGGTTGACAACGTCCCTGTGTGTCAAGAGGTGGACGATGTCATCAAGCTTTGCACCAGTCTCCTAGGCTTGGTGGGACCAGAGTGTGGAAAGGATAGCGTTCTCCTAACCAAGATAATACGTATCGGCAAGAAGAATCTGGCCGATGATCCTTCCGAGTCAAATCGAAAGCGATGGGTCAACTTCTCAGCAACTTTCATTGCACCGGCGATTACTTTCACAGGCAGAAACCCAGGAGTCATCAACGAGGCATGGGATCTGTTCAAACATTTCGATACAGCCACACGATACACCATTTACCAACAGTGGTTCAACGGAATGCTCAAGCCGGTGATCAAGACTGCTTTCAAAGAAGTCGAAACTGAAACCCGGAAGACTTTGAGTCGTATCTCTGCTACCAACACCAAAGAATATGGTCGCAAAATCGCCAAGATCTCGTATGCTAGCCCAGGCATCGTCTTCCGAACAACAGTCAAGCAATTGGTCAACTACCCAAACATGATCACTGCCTTGGTCGAATGCAGTCGATATCTTACTTTGCTTGGGTATGACGTCCTGACCTGGACGCTGGTTACATACCTTCTCAACCCCGACAAAGGATCACAGCAGGATGACGGTATGTTGTCTGCGCCGTGGTTAAAGAACATTGCTACCTTTGTCGGCAAAGCTTACGCAAGATATCACTTGATGGATCCTGTTCCCGTTCTACAGCTCACCACACACCAGCTCTTGACTGCTGAAGGCGAGCTATACATGTTGGATGTTCTTGAACAAATAGTCAAGTCGATGGGTGGCATTAGTGTCAGTGGATCTGTATCAGAGTCAGTGACTCTGGCGCTTTGCGCAGGACCTGCCCTTCGTACGTTCACTTTACAGTATCGTCTAGCGGATAACCGTACCCACGCTGCTTCTTCAGCAAGACGTCTAGTCAGGTGTCTGAAGGAGACGGGACTCGGACCACAAATCCTCATCGCACTGGCGCAGCACGTGGAAGCTTATGTCCACCGCGACGACCAGCTGGAAGTACCTGACAAGCCTGTACTTTTCAACGTCGATAAATTGCGCTCCGTCATGCTTCAATACCTGGAGCTCCTCCGTACATTCCTGTCTGTGGACGACTTTGACGCTCTGTTCCCTTCACTGGTAGAGATGATTGCAAATTACCACGTTGAGCCGGACGTTGCTTTCACGATTGCTCGTGCGGGCATAACAGCCAAGGCCAATGCTTTCCGAGCTGAACAACGCTCGAAGCTACTTTCCGATGCACAGACGAACGGCGATGTTGTCATGAGCGGCGTGGAAGAGTCACAAGCTGTGGATGGAGCTCAAGATGATGTCACATCCGCCGAGACCTCGAAAGCGAAAGAAGATGTGGAGATGAAAGATTCTGCTCCTGCAGAAGGAGACTCGGCATCCGTGACTGCAGCTCGTTCGGACAAGCCTTTCTTGCCCGATGTGCCAAATTCAGAGGTTGAAATCCTCGCGAACCAACTGAAGGAGCAGCTACCGGAGACCTTCGGCAACCATCCTTGTGTGTCCTACTATGTCGCATTCTGGCAGTTGTCCCTGACAGACGTTGTCGTCGACGTCGATGGCATCAATCAACAATACAAGGATTCAATCGAGACCTTGGAGCGACAACTGCCCGCTCCTGTGCCCGAGCGCCGTGGGTACCGACCTAACGTACCCAAAGCTGATTCAGAATCTGTCAAGGCTCTTAAGGAGAACATAGCCAGGATCAAGGACGAACAACAGGTTGTCACGAAGAACCATGCTGTGACACAAGAGAGTTTGAAGGTCGAATTGCGTCGATGGTTCGAGGGCGTTCCAATGATGGGACCACAGTGCGACGTCTTGCACAACGCTCTACTCCAAGACTGCTTTATCCCTCGCAGTCGCATATCTCAAGAAGACGCCCAATATGCGTTCTCTATGCTCATGTTCATGCACAGCTCAGGTGTGCCAGGGTTCCGCATGAGTCGGCTACTGGATATGCTCTTCAACGCAAATAGGCTTACATCTATTATCAGTATGTACACTGAAGCAGAGTCCTCTTCTTTCGGGAGATTCCTCGGTGGTATTTTGCGTGAGCTACAAGTCTGGCAGGAGAACAAGGATGATGCTTTTGTCAAGAACGCCCATGGTTTGGAAAAGAATCTTCCTGGCTTTGGCAGGAGCTACGACGGGGACCGCAACGCGACAAGCTTCTTCACTTACGACCAGTTTTGCATGGTGTTGTTCAAGTGGCACAAGGCACTTGCAGCTGCGCTTAAGACGTGCCTGGAGAGCGGCAACTACATGCAAA